TGGCTTGGTGTCCGAAAAAAAATGTGCTGGGACTAGTGTTTAGGGTACCAGAGAGGGACACCCTGCAATCTCTTTGGAGTCCAGATCTTGGTGTAGAGATGCGTGTGTGATATACCAAGGTACCAGGTACTATTTTCCCTAAAAAGACAAAAGAAGAATGTTGTCTTAATTAAAGGAAGAAAAGAAGTGAGAGAATTCAATGGTTTAGACAATAGAAGAGTGCTTTTAATTGGTTTAAGTCTGCCCGGATACCTGAACTTTTGTGTTTTTAATTGAATTTTGCCTCGACTATGACTTCCTGGATTGCTCAGAGTGAGAAATGGAAATTCCTTTTTGACAGGATTTATATCTACCAAAGAGGTGAGTGACTTCTAAAACATGGGAAAAAAATATATATGTACTGATAAATACAAAAAGGTTATATATTATTGCTAAAAGCTTATCATTCACAACCAGCACACACGTTTTGGAAGTTTTAATTTGCAAATTATAGAAAAAGGTTATTGCTGTTGGAAAAAAATTATTTTAAAGAATAAAGTAAAGAGAAAATTTTCAGATGTGTAAACAGCCATTCTGCTGATGAAATTGATAGGAAGCACACAAATTCTATATTATCTGTGTTGAAAGAAAGTGAGAGGTAAAACCCACTGCTTTAATTAAGAAACTATACTACTTTTGAAATGTTGAATCTCCTGAATACAAGGATGAGGGAATCACTTATCCCAAAAAAACTTGCAGTATTTGTCATAATGATAAGGAACTCCAGTGAACTTTCAGTGAAAATTTTTATCATATTTTGTTTAGTATTCATATATTTAGAGCCTTGTTTTAAGACTTTTATCGGCTAGACTGCACTCATGTGCAAACATATACAGATTGTTCTAAGGTTGTCCGCAATTGGCTGTATTACAATGCACCAGGCAGGAGAAAAAAGGTTTAATTTCATGCAAGGAATGCTCCATGTTTTTGTGATCGCAGCAGATATGATATTTATGGTGAAATCTAGCCCTCAAAAGGCCTAAAAATTGTGGCTTTAGTCCATTACTGAAATGCTGATGATATTTTAAGGACTAAATTCCAGTCTTCTTAGTGGCTCAGGACAGTTTTTATGAATGTGTGTATAAAGAGAGAATTTTTATGATAGCTGTGTTAGTCCATTCTTTGCAGTGCATGACAGGACAGTGTGAAATCTTTGCGCAGTCAGTGATTAACTCTGTCCTCTTAATGCAGTTCATGCCAATAAGTTCTTTATACTGTTTTAAGGGAAACTCAACCAGCATAGGGCTGTATGCTCAGTACTAGAATGTAACCTTGTTTGTTGTATGTACATCCAGGTGAGAACCTCATGTCCAGATTATAGTATGTCCAAGGTGTACCCAGCAGTGTTGCAGTGTAACAGTATTTCAATAGTACCAGTATGCTGTAGATCTAATTTTAATGGCTGTAAGTGTTTTAAGACAAACATTTACATGCGAGTTGTTAGACAGAAAGAACTTATGAAGGCAAAGCTGTTTTATGATTTTTTTCAAACTTCAAAAAATAAAATCGTGTGGAGTTAGTCATTTTCTATAAGCTGATCTTGATAAGGTGTATGATAAGCTTTAGCTGGCCTGGTGTCAGTCCAAAGCATCATATTTCCTGGCTCTTAAGATGTGAACATCAAGCATTCATCGTTCTCCCAAGGGAAACAGAGAGCAGCTCTCGCACTTATTTAACTATGCATTGATAAGTAATAATCAGTATTTTATAGGATGACAATTCCTTTATTTGAGTGATATATATATTTAAAGGGGCTTGCTGCTGTCTCTCTTTCTGCAATGCCTAGCTATTTTATTTAATTCCTGTAGGGTGTATAGATATTTGAACAGCAGGGAAAGAGTGCAAAACAGTGACATAGTGCATGGGTCTGAGATTGAGAATTTTGAAATTATAGAATGTCTTGTTCTTAACTTAGTATGTTTTGCAAAAATATGGAAATAGAGAAGCAGTTGTCTCCAAGACAAACATTTTAGCATTACAAGTTGAAATTGTGGAACTGTCCCTAGAATGGGCTTAAAGTGTTGATAAGTCAGGCTGCCATACGAAATGTATATTTCATGGCTTTTGTACTTGGTTGTAATCAGAAGAAGGTCATGTTTTAAATGTTATTCAAGTAAAGTAAATGTGACATATAAACTTCTTAAAAGGTCTAAGAACAGGGTGCACTTGTGTTTCTACTGGATACAAGGAAATTTCCGGATGATTGAGGAAGGGAACTGCTGTTTAAGTGCACGATGACTGGTATATTCTGTGGTGCTTTTGAGAGTTAAACAAGGAAAAGAGAAAAAAAGCAGAGAAGGTTGGTGTCTATTCTTAAAATAAAACAATTATTGCCAATACAAAAGGAGACATTTGACAGGTGAGGAGAAAAAAAGTTGAGGTAGACTGTTTTAAAACTGGTGGGTAAAATTACAGTAGATTTGAAAAGATCATGGAAGTACTTGATTCTTGACAGTAAAGA